TTTTTTTTTTTTTTTAAAAAAAAAAAAAAAAAAAAAAATCATCATGGCCTAAATCCCGCTCTATCTAAAATTGAATCTGGGATACCATTTTGACGGGAAGGAAGGAAAAGTAAAACCGTACAGTGTTGTTTGAAGACAGGGCGGTGTGGGGGGGGATTTTTGGGGGTCCCTGAATTCTCATTTGAAGGAAATGATGCTGATAAAGAAATAAAATAAAACAGATTGAGTGGAAAAGCAGAGGGAATAATGCCGCAGTTGTTTAAAGCTCCGCATCGGATGAGAAAATATGATTCAGAGTCTTTATTTCTCCTGCTGATGCAGAAAAAAAAGGAAAATGATCTGATTTCATTTATATTTTGGGGCAATCAGAGGGCATCAGATGTGATGCTTCATCTGCAAACATCTGCACCCCCCCCCCTCCAATCATTTCATGCATCAAAATAGAATCACCTGATTTTTTTTTACAATCACTCTTTTTCAAAAGGGAATAAATCCATCCTATATTGAATTATTTTTCTGAAATAATTAGCTACAGCATTTAGATTACCCAATAATTTTATCAGTGTGTTAGAGAAAGGGGATTTTAAAAGGGAGAAGCATCAAAAGGCCAGTTTTTTTGTTTTTTTTTAGCTCTGGTGTCTGACTTTGTCAAAATATCATTCAACTTTTCATCAGGTTAACATTCAGCAACAACATATAGATGCACATAGAAAAGGCAGATTATTTCAATAATATCAGTGTTTTTTATTGTTTTTTTTATCTGTTTTAGAGATTTTATTTAATTTAAAAAAGGCTTAAAGTATGTGCCAGATCAAAATATTGAAATACTTTTCAGAATTCCCTTTCCTTTAATCTCTGCTGACCTTTCTTTATGTTGTAATCCTGGAAGACGGAAAGCGTCCAGATTATGAACAACATTCCTTCATTTCTCTGAAGCTTTCATGCATCAGCTGTGACTAATATTTTCTTGACACCTTTTCATCAAAAGTTTATTAAGATTGATTAACGATGAAGCTACTGATCACAACCTTTCCAACCTTTTTAAATCAATAATAAAATAAAAGCAATAAAGATGATAAGTGCGTGATTTTTGAAGCTGGACGCACTTTGAGGATTTTTTTTATTCTTTCTGATTTGATTCACCTTCACACACAGAACTGAGTCCTGCTGTATTTCTAATGACAGATTAGGAACCATTTATTGTAGCTTTGTCACTTTACAGCATGACTCCTATTTTGGTTTCAGCACTGCAAAAAATAATCTAAATAAGTAATTTTTCTTAAAATAAGTAAAAAATTTTTCTTGAATTTAGGAGGAAAATGAGACACTTTGCCACTGGAACAAAACTATTTACATTTAAAATAATAATAATAAAAAAACAATTGCTTTGTCTTATTTCAAAGGCATATTATCCAATTATTATTTACCTGCTTAAATTAAGAGTAAATGCATTTTTTTTTTTACTTATTTCTATATTGTTTTTGCAGTGAGTGATCAGTTGTTTCCATTTTTTCCCATAAAAAAATGGAATATTTTGAGGAGGAATTCAGTTATCTCTCTCTAGGTACTCAACAAAGTCGTCCTTTTCCTAAATTGACATTTTTTGGGCCCATCGTGGATGTCGTGCTCGTCGTGTATTAACTTAACGGTGAATGCTCGGTAATCATCAGACTACCTGCTGCATCAGCTCTCCTTTTTAATCGTGTCTTTGCTTCTTTAACCCAAACAATCCTTTCAGATCATCTCCACCAAAAAAAGAAAAAAGGTTCCTCTGCTGTACATCCAGCAGCAGACACAGACTGCTGCTGAGTGTTGAACTGAGAGACGAATGTAATCACATTGGCAAACGTGTCGTGTTTGGTACAGCGGTGTGTTTACAGGGTAATTCTGAACTGGTTGGAGTTCAAATAGCAGAAACTAAACCCGGAGGATTGGAAAGTAATTTTATTTTTAGGATGAAAAATGCATTTTCAGAGTAAATGCTCCAAAATGTTTACCAATTCTTTTTATTTATTTAACCCAAATAAATATGTCAGAAAATAGACTCTTTTCAGGCAATGGGATCGAAATCAAACGACCTTTCCAACATATCAGATATCAGTGGACATCGTTATGTGGATTTCTTTTTCATCAATCATAAATGCTCATTTCAAAGTTTTACTTTGGAGAGATTGTACAGTAGGGGTGAAAATAATAAATGGTTAAACGGCAGACCTCGGCTAAACTTTCCCACATACCAAGGCGGTAATTAGGCCTTTTGTTTCAGGTGTGTTGGAGCAGGGATGCATGTAAAAGCTGCAGGACAGTGGCATGGAGGACCGACATTGCCTCCCCCCTGTTGTAGAGCTTTATGCTGTTTAAACTTTGATCTGTTTGACTAAAGAAGCCTTGTTGCAGGCCTGTCTTTGCTCTAAAATAAGGACCATTCCTGCCCTTGTTCAGGTAAGTAAAGGAAACCTTGAATGTAGAAACACACACAGGTTCCCGTTTGATGCTGCGCCTCCAGCAGCCCAGGCTGAGGGCAGTCCGAGCCAATGGAATCCCTTGGTAAATAGGACGTTAATCAGGAGCTTCATGTGCCTGAGCATGTCTTCCTGGGACAAATGAGATTAGAGGGAGTGGGATACAGTGAAATGACGTGCGTGGGGTTCTGGAGGTGAAAGGTAAAGGCACTTATCGGGAGGGTTCCCTCCGGGGTCCTCGACGGCTGACTCAATCAAAACCCCGCATGCACTTCTCTCTGGATTAGACTAATCAGAAAGGAGCAGGGGATGTATGGACCACTTATCTGAAGAGAAG